ACAGAAACTTAGGATTACCACTGTAATTAGTGGACCCCAAATTGAGATACTGAAGAATTGGGTCCGAAAAAAGAATGCTACAGAGAATCAACCGGAGCAACTAAGAATATCGACATTCATATTGAGTTGTGCTTACATGTGGGTCTGTTTGATCAGATCACGTGAAAGAGAAATTGGCAACGACGGTGGCGCCGATAAGCTTTACCACTTGAATTTCTTAGCAGATTGCAGAGATCGCCTGAATTTACCTGCAGCATACTTTGGAAACTGCCTGGAACCTCGCTTCGCAGAAGCGACAGCGAACGAGCTGGTGGGGGAAAATGGGGTTTTGGTGGCTGCGAAGGCTATTGGAAGAGAAGTATCGGAACTGGATAAAGGAGTGCTGAGAGGGGCGGAGCAGTGGCTATCTAGGTTCGAGGAAATATTCCAGTCTGGTGGCCACCCTGTTTTAGTTGCAGGGTCGCCGAAGTTTCGTGGGTACGAAACGGATTTCGGATGGGGGAGGCCGAGGAAGACAGAGGTGGCTCACCTTCGTTCTTCTGGAGCAATGTCCATTTCAGAGAATAGAGGTGAAGGAGGAGGGGTTGAATTTGGACTGGCTCTTACTCAAGACGAGTTGGAGAGGTTCAATGTTATCTTCGAGCAAGGCTGGTTGGATCTAAGGTAGCACAAAATAACAGTGAGTAAAGCTCTTGAATCAGAGAGAAGAGTATGGATTGCTAAAATAAAAGAAGTAAGACAAGTTTGAATCTTGAGTTGGGTGAGAAGGGGTTTAAGGAAAAGGGAGGGTTATCCCAAAAGGTAAAAGAAATAAGAACTTGGAGATTAGAGCCATAAAAGTAGAATGCAGCATTACATTTGTAGTTTCTCCCCTAAAGGTAGGAAGATTTTTGCTTTTCTTTTCTCAAAGACGAATCCAGTGGCCTTATTAAACTAAGAAACGAAGAGAGTCATCATCTAGGCTTGCACTTTACTGTGTGTGCCTATTAAACTGCCTGACCTTTCACATGTTTCTACTAAAAGTATGAAACTTGATTCAAGCTTGGTTGATTTGGTCAAGAGAATGAAAACAATAATTAGAAGGCATAACACCCCTGACAATGTTGCAGATTCTTCAGTAGCTCCTGAATCTCCTGGATGCAGTAGACTAGCTTCGGCATTGCATGAATCAATAGCTTCTGGGGTTTTTTTTGGGACATACTGCAGATTGGACTTACTAAACAATGTAAGTGGGTTGAAGTAGAAAGAACAATTTGATGAACTGATCCGTGACAAGGATTCTGAATTAAAAGATATATGGAGCTCTAATGATGGTGTTGCTCAATTTCAGTAATATATATTCCTGCTTTATTTGAGTGACTTGTATGATCTAATAACTGTATATCATTCTCCTCAGATACTGAAGACTATAACTTTTGAACTTCATGGTCAGGAGCCTTACTTTACACAACTAAAAGGTTCAATTTCATTACATTCTTTGCATTAGAAACATCCATTTCAATTAAAAATTTTAAACAATTCTAATTCATCAGCTGAAATACTGCGGATGGTTACCAATTGTGCCTGCATTGATTGAACAAATTCTCTGGTGGTATCAAGGCATCGGCATATACCAGGTACCTGTTTTTGTTGAAAAAGAACTGATAATCACTTGTTTGTTGTTCTTCTTATTTTTTAATTTCCTTGAGGCTTGTTTTCTACTAATTATGGATTAATTACAGATGGGTTAAAAACAATTGAGGGAAGGTGTGCTGTTGGCAACTTTAACCAGCATAAACACTTAATATACTTCTGAATAATCCGATGCTGGATTTTGGTATGTTGTTACTTCTTTCCCCCTATGTGCTATATGCCATTTATGTTTCATTGTCTTTAAGTATATTTATTTGTTAAATTTATTCTTTGGAAGGGGAACCCTCCATGGAATCGAAGTTAGAACTTTACTAACGACTAGTCAAGCCAGTTAAATTGAGATGCAACTAAGAAAGCTTAGTTGACATCGGTTGTTATAGTTTAATGTTTTAGTTTATGAAACATGTGATACTATGCTTTTAGTAAAGATCACAGCAGACAAGATCCATATGTTTAGGAAAAATTGTTTTACCTCTCACAAAGTTGTAACTTTGTAAGACTTGACAATATTTTGAACTTCAATGAAATGAATCATATGTGAGTTCTGCTCTTCATTCCTTCTTAAATAATATTCTAGCTGGTTTAATTATTGGGATGGCATGCATCATGCTTTAAAGCAGCAGCAGCGCCTAATTGTAAAGGATAAAATTAAGGTGCCGAGTTAAACACCGGTGTGTATTAATGGTTGGGCAAGTTTGTGGCCTCAAGGTTCTCGAAGACAGCCATGTATCTTCGGATAAAATAAAAAGAAAGAGGGGGGCTAAGGCCTGATAAATTTTGCAACTGCTATACAAAAGTGCAACAGCTATACAAAAGTGCAACACATCCGTTGATTTTAAAAATGGAAGACCATGCTAGTTTCTAATTAAATCAATTAAATTAGCTAATGTGTTCTTTTAGAAATATTAGTTTTAACATTTTTTGTCATTCATAAATCTTTTTTTTTTCTAATTTAAACTGTTAAAGTATTTTTAAGATCAAAACTAGTGCTCTTTATCGTTCTTTGGAAAATTTTAAAGACATGTTTAGTTTATTTAAAATTAATTTTTTTAAATATTAACT